GTGTTAGGCTTTTTTATTTTCTCATCTCAGACTGTGCAAATGCCTCATTTTAGTATTACCTTTAATATATATCTACTGAACTGTGCATGCTCTGTATAATTGTTATTATTATACCTTACATATATTTCAAACAATTCTATTGGGTAAAACGTTATCACGTGACATGGAATAATTCAGTTAATTTTCATTCAATTGCAAGGAAGAACGAATAACCCTAAAAATTTACACCAGCGTTGAATAACCCTATTATTCACCGGCGAATAACCTTTTTAGTTTGTTGATTTGTACTCATGAAAATGTCGTCACAGACGTAAATAAACAAAATTGCAACGTTTAAGGTAATTACAGGAAGCCCATTGATCTAGAGAAGAGGAAATAAGGCTTTTGACGTGCATCTTGTGCCGATGATATCTCTAATAACGGTCCTTTTCAGGGCCATCAATATTTTACAAAAAGAATCTACCTTTGTTGTACATACGAGAATTCTAAGACACAAATTACATGTATTTTTGAACGTCAACTTGTGTTTGTTACTGACTCAAGTAAGGGTAAGTGCTTTTACAATGATTCAAAATGCCCTTCCACTGTTAGTTCGGTATAATAAAACAATTGTGGCCCCTTAGAAGCGATGAATATCCAAAATTGTCAACCCTTAAAAGTTATTTCACTTCATAAGTTGGTTAAACTTGTGTCCGATCCTTTTTGTATCTTTGAGCAAATTAAATTGTTATAAACTAAACTAGTATTTTGTTAGGGATTTATTATGCCCGTTTTGTCTCGAATTTTTTCATGCTGTGAGCACTTCTGATTTGGTTTGATACGAATGTGTTTGCAGTACTAGTGACGTCGCAACATTTCGTGTAACGTACTATTTTGATTTATATTAGTTAATTTACTTATACAAGTATGTATTGTGGAAGTAAAACTCCGCTTGAAAGAGTTCATATCATGTTTTTCATGGTCATATTATTGACAATCTAACAAGTACATTTGTAAAAACTGTCCATCATTTTTGGGGGGTCTAAATAGACGTATTGACTATGGTTATAAACATGTTTTAGTATAAGTGTTTAAATATTAATTCGTTTCTTTACGTCATGATTAAAATGGTTGCTTAATTTTTTCTGTTTTATTAATTCCGTATTTATTTACTTGCATGGAGCATAACAATTTTTCACACTGTCTTTCAGTACAGTGGCCTCTCTATGGGTTGCAATTAAATTTTTTTTATGATTTTTACAATCTATACGATGGTTAATTAACTTGAAATAAACTGGTCGAGTTTCAAAGGGGACGACTTATGTGCTCTCAAACGAATTAAAACCCATCACATATAAATAAGAAAAATAAAGACATGTGGTATGATTGCTAATGAGACAACCATCCACAAGATATCAAAGAACGTGGATGTCAATAAATATAAAGCACTGTTTGGCATAAAAAAAACTTTAGATAACATGACAAATGTTAAACAAATCAAAAGAGAACAGAAAACGGCTCGGTATATACTAAAACTAACAAACGAAGAGCAAATAAGACAGACAGCAACCAACGATAACCACTAAAAACATTACTTGATATGGGTCTGGTACATACAGAATGACGCGGGGTTAACCACATACAAGAAGTCTCAACCTTCTCCATATTCTTGAACAGTAGTTTAACAGCACAACATAAGACTGGTTATGATGCTCATTTCTTCATGCATTAAATAGCAAGAAGGGGGATGATATTACACTGTAACAATTTGGATCATAAAATTAAAGATAATGTTAATTCAGAAAGTGAAAAATGAGTATAGATGAAGCTGATGTTGAATTGAATTCAAGACCCCTTTAATATAAAGTTGTCCACATATTGAGTTTCATGTAATGTTCTAAAGAAATGCATTACGAAATAACTGTGTTATCTGGCCTAATGAGAATCCGAATTTTAAGGGTATTTTCATCGGACCCGTTTCCTGTCTGAAAGTTCATGTAACAATTCACAGTTGGGAGTGTGGTTTCGCGTTGTAGCCCGGTGATTTGTTTCTTCAAACTTTAAAGTTACTAAGTATTGTACAATCAAATTCATATTGAGATAGCTGAAAAATAACATAGACTTCATAATGGGCTTCACTGCATTTGAATACACCTGTCCTAAGCCAGGAGCCTGTTGTTCAGTGGTTGTCGTTTGTTGATGTGGTTCATAAGTGTTTCTCGTTTCTCGTTTTATATATAGATTAGACCGTTGGTTTTCCTGTTTGAATTGTTTTACACTAGTCATTTTGGGGCCCTTTGTAGCTTGATGTTCGGTGTGAGCCAGGCTCCGTATTGAAGGCCGTACTTTAACCTATAATTATTTACTTTTTACACATTGTGACTTGGATGGAGAGTTGTCTCATTGGCACTCATACCACATCTTCTTATCTGTATATATTATATGTATTTCAAGATTGTTCTATTATTTCAAGATTGTTTTATGTATTTTGATATTGTTGAGCTTTTGATTTTGCCATTTGTTAAGGGACTTTCCGTTTTGAATGTTCCTTGGATTTCGGTATTTTTGTTATTTTACTTTTTATGTATGAGTTATAGGATATTTTCTGTCAGGCCGTCCGTATGTTGCTGTCAATTCCTGATTTACATGATATAGGTCTAAAAAATATTGAAATGGGCACTTGCACTTTGTTTTGACCGATTTTATTAAAGCAATTTTTTTCAATAAAAATATGATGAAAAGGCAAGAAATGTTGATTTGATCTCTTGATAGATAAATGACAATTGTTTTCGAAAGGGCATTACTCAAAGGATTGAAATATTTATTTGAATCGAATGTGAGGACACATGTAACATTTTCATGCCCCTTTTTGCAACGTTTTGTTTTGGCAAATGATTGCAGAATGTCGTCATGTGTACACATTATATAAATAACACATAGCTGAGAGGGTGATAGAGCAGATTGTTACCCCGAGAAAACATTGTCAACTGAGGCGAAGCCAAGTTTGACAATGTCTTTTCGAGGGGTATGTGTTATTTAATTTATTATACTGAATGTTCTGTTATTACTGTCTATTAAATTTCAAATTCAAAGTAATAAACTCTGATGTCTTGTACATAACAATCATCCATATTTAAAAAAGCGCACACTTGATCAAGCGTCTCCGTGAAGGGTAATATAGTATTTACCATAGGATAGAGTAAATTTTCTCCCTCGTATTAACCAATCAAAATCTGGCATTTTTACATGAAGTATAATTAAGTATAATATTTCACCTTTTAACTTTTGGAATTCAAATCTTTGAATGATATGCTGATTACATGCATATGCACGTGTATTACACAACTAATTAGTTTAATTTGTTAGAAAGATAGGAAAAGAAGTTTGTTGAAAATTATGAGGGCCACTTTAGATTTTATTTCGTATCTTTGCTTTGCTTCCTCTTTTTTCTTATTGATAGCATAACCTTATTACTCTTCTCATTGATAAATAATATAGATAAAGAATTTTTGAAGTAAGATATCGACAACTAATCGGTCCCAACGTATGCAGTGTATACTACTGTTGGTTATAATTTGTGGAGAAGATTTCTCCATTTTTCACAATTCAATTCAATTCAATATTTTATTTACGTCTCACCTTATGCATAAAATTACACAATACATTTATAAAAGATACATTTTATACATACGCCAATCTGTACAGATTTATGAGAGACGATAATCAACTAAAACAATATGTTTGTACATAATAAAAATTTAACATGAATGGTAAAATTATACAACATAATTATTCAATAAATTTTTACAATATAAAACTTCTCGGCGTCTTTTCAGAATAAAACAGTGAAGAATTAGTTTTAGTGAAATGCACTTATATTTGATACTGTACAAATTGATTTGTAATATTGGAATATTTTTATTAGCAGCGATCATAATTATGCATTATTTCATTCTTCTAGAGATATAAGTAAAAAATTAGGATTCCATTTGAGTTATGATAATAGTCAAAATTACTTAAAGATGTTCTCTGCGTATATAACAGATTAACAAGCCAGTGGTTACCATTATAACTAATTACTTATGATAACGAAATGGGATATTTTCTTGATCACCCCTGATTATTACACAATAAACATAACTTACTTTACTTGTAATAGACACAACAAGCGCTAAACAGCACTCAAATACCATAACGTTTCTGTGATAACATCTTCATTTTTACTGATCTGTATAAATAAATACAATGTAACACGCGACCATTCAAAAAAGATATAATATTTTTCAAGATTATGAAGGTTGTTTCTGTACAATTAAGCGTAATTTCCATATTTATTGTGTGTTGACTGTTGATATGCATAACCAATTGCAACAGTAGATTATTCATGGAATTTTCCAAGTTTATTTTCGAAAACATTTAAATAGATTGTCAGACGTTCACTTTTTGACACGGTTTTTTTTTCGAATATTTAGTTTCTTATTGGCAATTCATTTTATCAGTGTATTCTTATATTGCAACCTTTCAGCTAGATATTGATTTTCTTCACTGAAAGATGACGAAAGTTTCCCTGTCTGTTTTAAATTCCTAAACTTCATAGTTTCACAGTAAAAACTATGATGATTTTGATAGTTTATTATATAGAAGTTGTACATAATAAAAAAAGATTAAAAAGCCTTATAATCGAGTACATTTGTAAATGAAAAGGCTAATTCTTTAAAAGTTAATGATCTCAATACAGATATTTCATGTACTTTGTTCAGGGAGGCGTGTAAACCAATTAAGTTCCAAATACAATATTTTTTTGACAATTTCTATTGATAGGGACGATGGTCATATTGATTCCATAGCTAGACTCGTCCTTAATATAACATGATAATGCATTACCTAAGAACTAATTCACCACATATAAATATGTGTTCAGTTTTATTGGCATGACACCTGTAAATTTAGTATGATTAAAATTGATGTTTTACTCTTTCTTATCGTTATCAATGCTGTTGTTCAAATTTTCTTGTCAATAGTTACAGCATCCTCCAGACCAATGATGGATAGTAAGAAGATGAATATTGCTAATGACCAGCTTGCAGCAAGACGTAAAGCGGCACAAATGTTGATTTCAGTTGTTGTGGCTTTTGCTGTTTGTTACTTTCCAGTTCATTTGCTAAATATACTCAGGTGGGTAATTCTTGGGCATGCAAGTTGTGAGACAGCAATAGTTTTTATATAATTATGTTAATATTGTATAATTTATTTTTATATATACTCGATTAGCTTAATACTGCGATTAAATTCTCCATACGTTTGAGATTGCAGTCAACCGATAGACTGACATTTAATATTCTAATTACCATTTTATACGATAAATACCAAGACCTACTCGCTATTGAAAGAAAATGAATGTTCTTCGATTTCTGTGAATTTAAAAAATAAATCGTACTGAATTATTAAGATATCGTTTTATTTAAAACAACAACGTTGTTTTTCAGTGTAGTCTTACCATTTATTTAGTCATCAATACGAGATATAATTACAATTTACAGCTTACATTAAGAGAAATTAAAGGCTCATGTTAAAAGCTTAGCAAGCCATAGAACAAGTTTCTGACTCCTTCTAACAGACAAGCTTTTTAGTAAACAAGAAATTCAGAAAAGTGCATATTTTTTTACAACATGATAAAATCCTTTTCTGAAGTTTGCCAGCAATTATTAAGACATGTTTTTGAACATTTGACAACTTAAATTTACTTCAATAATAACACAAATCCAAACATCTGTCAACAATAAAAAAAATCCTGATAGTTATTGTTGACTTTCTAATAAGTATCAGGTCTTTGCAAGTTGTGTAAGACAAACCCTTTGAGTAACTATAAACTATGAAATTTTATTCACTAAAAATAAAAGAAATATAGATAAGGAAATATATACCTTACATCAATTAGAAAATGTCGTTGATTAAAAAAGGCTGATTTCAAAAGAATGCTGGGTTTGATGGTTGTTTACCGTCCAGTGGCAAAATAAATGCATATGTAGGAGAAACATAATAATATCATTAATATTGACCCTGCTTTGTACTAGACCGACACACTGAGCCGGATTTTTAACGTTCTATAGTTCACAAGATCGATAAAAGTCAGGAGGAAAAAATAGACACATTATTCTAACTTCGAGCCGATCAGTCTTTACTCTTACTTCTAAATGTCGCGTGCTTAGCGGAGAAACAGCAAACACAAATTTACAAGTCTTTAATTTGACTCGGCCGGGGATTAAACCCAGAATATCCGATTCCAGCAAAAAGCCACATGTATCTGAAAGCAAAAGTCGTTGTATTTATTGTTTTGCGATTTACTTTCACTTCAAAGCATTTATAATTAATATCGAACCGAAATTGTAAATTAAATGTAAATGAAATGTATAGATATTCAAGTGGTAAACTATGATTGATTTGTTACGATCTCTTGTCGTTGGGTTCCTTAAACGTATATAGAGACTACAAATATGTTCATTCTCCCAACCAATTTCATAATCTGAACGTTTCTAGTATGAACGAATATCTATACATACCACTAGGCCCAGACAGAAAAGAATAATCGACCTACACAAGAAGTACAGGTAGTGCTATATTTACTGTAAAATTGAGAATGGAAATGGGGAATGTGTCAAAGAGACAACAACCCGACCATAGAACAGACAACAGCAGAAGGTCACCAATAGGTCTTCAATGCAGCGAGAAATTCCCGCACCCGGAGGCGTCCTTCAGCTGGCCCCTAAACAAATATATATACTAGTTCAGTGATAATGAACGCCATACTAAACTCCAAATTGTACACAAGAAACTAAAATTAAAAATAATACAAGACTAACAAAGGCTAGAGGCTCCTGACTTGGGACAGGCGCAAAAATGCGGCGGGGTTAAACATGTTTATGAGATCTCAACCCTCCCCCTATACCTCTAGCCAATGTAGAAAAGTAAACGCATAACAATACGCACATTAAAATTCAGTTCAAGAGAAGTCCGAGTCTGATGTCAGAAGATGTAACCAAAGAAAATAAACAAAATGACAATAATACATAAATAACAACAGACTACTAGCAGTTAACTGACATGCCAGCTCCAGACTTCAATTAAACTGATTGAAAGATTATGTCTTCATCATATGAATATCAGGCACAATCCTTCCCGTTAGGGGTTTAGTATCATACCATCATAACATATATGAGAAGAACATAACCCGTGTCATGCCAACAACTGGTTTTTAAATAAATGTGTTTAGTGCCGATGCAAAGACCCTATAAGTGAATCAATATTAACGCCAAAATATGCAATCTTTAATGACCTGACAACAGTATCGTAACTATATCCCTTCTTAATAAGTCTATTTAAAGGTTTTGTTAGCTTCAGAGGTGAATACTGACATTTTTGTGCTTTATAAAGAATATTTCCATAAAAAATTGGATGTGAAATACCTGAACGTATAAGAAGTCTGCATGTTGAGCTATATTTACGAATGATGTCCTTATACCGATGATAAAATTTAGTAAATGTTTTGACTAGTTTGTGATATCGAAAACCCTGGTGTAATAATTTTTCAGTAATACATAAATTTCTCTCGTTAAAATCTAAAACATTGTTACATACACGAGCGAATCGTACAAGTTGAGATATATAAACACCGTAAGATGGTGACAAGGGAACGTCACCATCTAAAAATGGATAATTAACGATAGGAAATGAAAAATCATCTCTTTTATCATATATTTTAGTATTAAGCTTTCCGTTAATGATATAGATATCAAGATCGAGGAAAGGGCAGTGGTCATTGTTAGTATTAGCTTTATTTAAAGTAAGTTCAACAGGATAAATTTCTTTAGTATACATACTGAAGTCGTCATTATTGAGAGCCAAAATATCATCCAAATATCTAAAAGTATTATTAAATTTGTGTATCAGATGTTGTTTCGATGGGTCTTTGCTGATTTTTGTCATAAATTGTAACTCATAGCAATACAAAAAAAGGTCCGCAATAAGTGGTGCACAGTTAGTCCCCATTGGAATTCCGATAACCTGACGATATACGGAATCTCCAAAGCGAACAAAAATGTTATCTAGTAAAAATTCAAGGGCATATATAGTATCAAAGCATGTCCAATTGACATAGTTTTTTTGTTTATTGCTACTAAAAAATGACCTAAAAGAGTTTGAACATATATATTCACATTCTGACTTTTTAAATGCCCATTTAATTAGGTGTGTGAATTTTTTCTTAATGAGAATATGAGGCAATGTGGTATATAGGGTAGAAAAATCAAAACTTTGAACAGATTCAAAATCACCAATATATGCATGCAATTTATCAAGTACTTCCAACGAGTTCTTGACACTCCAAAAGTAATTAATTCCACTATTTTCGAAGGCCTTATTTGAACAATTTATTATCAGGTTTTTGATTGTACCAAGTGTACTGGTAAGAAGAATAGACAATTTAGTAGTGGAACAATGGCTTGTAACTGTTTTACGATATATTATTCTTGATAGATTTGAAAGTAAGAACAGAACTTGACAGGTCAAATTACCCTGACAGCGTCATACATCATAATACATCAACTTCAGGTGTTCTAGCTACACTCTTAATTTTAACAATGGTAAGCTTCAGAATACAGTAAACCTGTTTTGCTGTCAACTTAGGTTATGGGATTGGACTGCAATTTCATTTATACCCACACATTACTAGTATCCTTTTGATTTACTTTGCTGCTGGTTTTATTGGGAGAAAAACTGAACAATTAATCATGTTTTGTTTTTGTCATCACTGTTTTATATATTAAGGTTGGTTTGACTATGTTACGCCTGTTTTCAAATTCGCGCACCTGTTATAATTGATGTTCCGACAAAACGATTGGCATGATGAGTTTTAAATATGGCAAACTGCTTCAGTAATGATATAACCATTTGTCTTTTATTAAGGCGCTGCAATCGATCAATAATGGGGAAAGATCTATTTCTTTCAGGATATTCAGATAGCTTTAATATTATTGTGTTTTTTTTATTTCTTGGTAGTAATCAAATATAATCAAAGAAAATAGAGAAACAAAAATGTTTATAATTATATATATATATATATGTCTAGTTACTTCAATGCAATAAGTTTTATGACATTGTTAATTGAAAACTATGAGTCATCATAGAATGAATTTTCCCAAAAAAATGCCTTTTATTCCCTCCTATTAATGCATAGAAAGCACATTTAACAACATACGTAGAATACTAATTGCTTTCGGATAAGATTTTCATTTTGCTCTTTCGTGATTGCAGATAAAAAAAAATCCTAATATCCTGTACAAGTATCTGTTTCAGTCGTAATTACCAACAAATAAGATGTTCTAAAAAGTATGTTATACATGAACACCTCTTGTCAAATATATTCCTCTAACAATCGATCTTCTAATCTGCATTCTTAAAACAGGCGGACGATATTTTGGTCAAATGTCCGTAAAAAAGTTAATTGAATATTTACGAATTATAACAGTCAGTCTTCTTCTCTGTGTTCATTACTTTGCAAAGATATTTTAAGAAACGATAATTGAATACGTTTTTGTTCGTTTGGTAATATTTGCAATTTAATTAGAAAAAGTGCTTCCTACTTAAATGCAAGAAAACCTGCTAGTTTAGAAATACTATACTATATTCTACAATATTTAATTTTGTTTCATTATCTTAGCCATGATGAAAATGTGTAATACTTGAAAAAAATAAAATCAACGCGTTATAAATTTTATGCCTCCGAAGTGCTGTCCTGAATTTACCTTCATCAGGAATGCTCAAAACCGAATATTTGAAGGCCAAGGATGTATAAGAACGGAAACATTTAAAGAGCTATATTACCAAAAAGGACTCAAAAAAATCCAAATAGCGAGAAACAGTTTTAAGAATGCAGATTAGAAGATCGTTTGTTAGAGGAATATATCTGACAAGAGGTGTTCATGTATAACATACTTTTTAGAACATCTTATTTGTTGGTAATTACGACTGAAACAGATACTTCTACAGAATATTAGGATTTTTTTTATCTGCAATCACGAAAGAGCAAAATGAAAATCTTATCCGAAAGCAATTTGTATTCTACGTATGTTGTTTAACGTGCTTAAATAAGGGAAATATATTCAATCGTTTCTGTAATGAATGGAGAGTAATGCGCGTATATCTTAGTTAAATCTTCCCTTTTCGTTTATTTTGAAAAAAGAATTTATATTTTATTATGTTTTCTAATACATGACATTTAAACAAATGTGTGGGACCTTCGTCGTCGTCGCCCGACGTGAACTTAAATAAAAATTCTCCTCTGATACCTCTTAGCCGAATGACTTGAAACGTGACAATGGTGGTGTTAATCATTCTTTACATATCATGCTCATTTCGTTCCGAACAGAAAAAAATGATCAATAGTTGAAGATCTATCTACCCTGATATCTTTAGAAGAATCGGAGTTATTGTCTCTGAAATGTTCCCTGATTAACCAATTTTGCCTTTTTCGCAATTACTTTGAAAACTATTAAAGATAGAAACTAACAGTAAAAAATATTCTAGAAATGATCTACAAATGAATCTGACGAAAAAATCGTCAGTCAACTCATTATAGAATAGTTGAATGTGATTACAATGCTCTTAAATGCCGATGTGTCTCCATTTCATGTGCGTTTTGATTATACTCATGAAAACTACAATGGATGGAGAAAAACTTTAAAAAAAAATAAAGATGATCCGCTCGACAATACCTACAAATAGATCAACACGATCGAAATCGTCAGTTGACTCCTTATAGTAGCTATTGCCTTTCATCAGGATTTTTATCCATCCTTAGTATTTTTGATGAAAACTAAAGAAGATAGATAGAATCTGTAAATAGCAACAATGATCAGCACAGTAGCATCTACAAAGAAATAAAAATCATTGTAATCGTGTCGACTCCTTATAGGTGTTGTTGTCCTTTAATGACAATTTTCACCCATTTTTGCGCTTTTGGCTACAATCTCGAAAAAAATAACAGATATAGAGAAACTGTACACCACAAAAATAATCAGCTAGACGTGATCTATGATATGTCAAAAATCTCTTTTTAGGAGTTATTGCCCTTTAAAAAAATGTATACCCATTTAACACGTTATTTGCAATAATAATTTTATAGAAAATTTAATTAATTATAAGTTGTCTTAAGATCTTTAAATTTTTAAACAAAACTGATTTTGTGGATCAACTTCTTATAAATGTAGGAGTCACTCCCCGCAGAAGACACTATTCGACCAATTTAAGCATTTGTATTCAATTATCAGCAATACATAGAAATTGTTAAGTGTAAAACTGATCAGCAAGACAACATCTACAAGAAAATCGGAAATTGAATTATATGAAGATGGCTTTTACTGTTGCATATTTTACGAGGTGGGCGATTCGGGTTCCTGCGACCTCTAGTTTGCTGTTTTTTTAGTAAGTTCGCATATGCAATATTTGTTTACGTCAAACTGCAATTGCAAATTTCTAATACAATATATGATTTTCAAATATTTTTTGTCAGACTGCCAATACATTGGTTTTTTTTTTAAACAAATAACATAATTTAGAAACTATACATATAAATAATCCCGAAATACTTTCTTTTTGAATTATAATAATCGACATTAAATGATTTAGATATTTGGTATTATAGGATATTCAGGTGAAATTTTTTTTACATGTGTAAAAGCATACAATATGTTGTAGGTATGCAGGGGTTCACAAGTCCATACCAGATAATGGCTTTAGAGCTTACAACTACATTGCACATTGGTTGCCTTATCTGAACAGTTCGACAAATCCAATCATTTATAACTTTATGAGTGGTGAGTACAGTTTTAAAATTTTCTTATTTCGTTACTTCGACTTGAGACGTTTTAGTTGGGGTTTTTTACAACATCATTGTTATGAAAATGTCTAATTCTATAACTTTCAGTAAAAATATATCATAACTTTTCAAAATGTCATGCATATTTGACAGATTTTTGAACTTCATCATTAAATGTCAATCTAAATGAAAGTTATATTTCAACTGATAAATACTTTAACACAATTAGAGCTTCCTTTTTCAAACAGGTTTGAGTATTCTTCCTATCATTGAACATAAATAAAGACCAGAAAACAGAAGAACTAATCAAATATTACATAATTTTATTATTCCCAATGCAAATAAAATATCTAAACACAAATTAAAATGACGTATATCCATTATTTTAAATTTTATTGTATTTTATTATTTATAAATCAAGTTTTTATGTGACAACAGGCATATCTTGTGTATATTTGTTTTAACTAAACTTTAAGTTTTCTCGTTTGAATCGTTTTACGTTTGTCATTTCGGGGCCTTATATATATGACTATGCGGTATGGATTTTGCTCATTGATGAAGACGTCCGATGACCTATAATAGTTGTTAACTTCTTTATCATTTGGTCTGTAGCGGAGACTTGTCTCATTGGCAATCATACCATATCTTCTTATTTCTATATTAAAGAAGAACCAATATTTTGGCATTGCGCAAGGTCATGTTTTTCTCTGACTGTAAATGATGTTTTTACACTAAATCTATTGTATATTGGATGTGTACTGATTGCTATTTCAGTCTAAGATGCATGATTGTTTTATTAGTTGTTTTTGTCTTTAAATTAGTTTTCAGCTACTGCGAATACTCTCATATCAGTACTTTGTTTCTTTGTGTTTTGTATCGATCTCATGAGTTAGGCCCTTTTCAATCGTGTTTTTAAAGGTTGTTCTTATGTTGTGCTGTCACGCCACTGTCCCAGGTTAGGGGGATTGGTCGCTCGCAAACATGCTTAACCCTGCACATTCTATATTTACCTGTCCCAAGTCCGAAGCCTGTAATTGAGTGGTTCTCGTTTGTTGCTGTTTATCATATCTTTTTTTCGTTTATTGTTTTGTACAACTTGTTCTTGTGTTGTTCTGTGTTCCCCACTGTCTCGGATAAGGGGAGGGTTGGGCGCCAGCTAATAATTTAAACCCTCCACATTTTTCTGTGTCTATCCCAAGTCAGGAGCCTCTAATTCAGTGGTTGCCATTTGTTGCTGTATAGTATATTTGTTTTTCGTTTTTTTGTTTTGTACATAATTCAGGCCGTTAGTTTTCTCGTTTGAATTTGTCATTTTGGAGCCTTTTATAACTTACTATGCGATGTGCGGTATGGGTTTTTTTCATTGTTGAACGCTGTAGAATGACTGATAGTCGCTAACTTCTACGTCATTTTGTCTCTGGGGGAGAGTTTCTCATTGGCAATAATATAAAATCTTCTTATTTTTATACTAAACATTCATATTTCGTTTAGTGTATTCCAATGTATAGAAAAGTTCAAATAGGTGATGTCTTGTGCCCTCAAATACTGGTTGAAATTCTTTTAAAATATCATTGCAACCAATTCACACTAATCTGAAAGATTGCAGGCATAGAAAGACGGACAAGGTTCCAAATTCCAGACTTGCTAAATCAAAATGAAAAAATAGCAATTGTCAATCACGAAAACCTGTACTGATTATTAAATTAGTTTGGGGATTTTTAAACAAATACATGATTTAATTTGATAAATTCTATTGCAGAACAATCATAATTATAGATCGCGTCATATTGTATTTAAACATTTCTATTTTATTACATATATACAAGTCGAAATGAAATATGATTATACAATGATATTGGATACAATTATATAAATCCCTCAAGTTTCTTGAATCAATTTGCTATCTAAGGATTTGCGAATCTATACAGGTACGGACTGACACTCAAAACAATGAGCGTTTGTATAATATTAGCATGTGACCTGACCACCTTCAGGAACCCTTCTAATCCTAAAAACAAAATAGATATAAAAATAAGGATATCATATGGTATGATTGCCAATGAGAAAACTATCCACCAAAGTTCAAATGAAGTGGATGTAAGCAATTATAGGCAACCGTACGGCCTTCAACAATGAGAAAACCCCATAATGTATAGTTGGGTTTATATCAACTCCATTTTTCCATTAAAAAAGCTTAAAACAGATTTATTTCTGAAATTAGATTGTACTGGTATCCTTGAACTCTATTTACTCGTAGATAGATAAAAACCATAGTTTGTGAACTGTTTCGTGTGTTTCTTTGTCTTTTGTGTTTAGCCATAATGGTTTGTTGATTTGTTTTAGCCATTATGTGGTCGATTCTTTGATTTCAATTATATCTTGAAACTGCAAAACTCGTGTTTTTATCGTTATAATGGAAATCAGATAGGAATTGTCATGAAGTTTCAACTTCACTAGAATTGTCGCCCCATTAATTTTTTTTATTTTGTAATAGATAAAAATATAACCATTGTAGATAAGTCACGCAGTCATGATAGTTCTTGAAATGTTAGTAAAATTTGATCATTACTGAATCATTAAAGACACCAATTGTATAATCTCGTCTATACAAGACACGTCAAAGGTATTCCAATAAATATATTTAGAAGGACAAATCAATTCTGAAGTAAAGAGCTTTGAAACCCACCGGGGAAGGGGGAGATTTTGGATGGTTTTAAAGTTTTATGAACAGGGCATTTACAAAAATTACTAAAATCATATTTCATGGCTAACCACTTGGCTGGTGATATCATCTGGGACGAACCGCCCAACAGCAATGGCATCTTTCCATCACAGATAACAGGCATATTATTTAGTAGATTAGAAACGCGTTTCTGCTTCACAAATCTCATCAATGGCCTCTGAATCAAATGCAGTTGAAAAGGCACCTCAAGTATAAAGTAGAAGAGCACTGAAACCCCTATATTCCAAAACGTTATGCCAAATATGGGCATGCAATGTATGCATGAGGTTGAAAACTCTTGAAAAACACATGTTTCTTTTACCTAATTATCACTATTTAATGTATATTAATGTTTTCAATGCTTACACATATCGTACGGTTGGTAAAAAAGAGAGAAGGAAGATCCCAAGGGATAGTCAAATCCATAAGTAGCGTTCAATTAAATGTTTAAAGTGGATAGGGACAGTCTACATATTTTCTGGATAATTAAAAAAGAACAAAAAACAGGATGCATGCATTTTCAAAATCCACAATTATAAGTTTGTCGTCAAAGATGTTCAGCAGAAACTTTGGAGGTTGTCACAGACATGTCAGAATCCAGTTCACGTAAGATCAACAATAAATATCAACATCAGATTAGTAGTAGTAGCTGCTGTGCTTCATGGAGTTTGTCGCCTCCAGATTAATGACCTTGCATGCTTTCCGCTACTAAAATGGCAAGAATGAAAGATTTGGTTCAAATATTTCACTTTAAAATCCATCCAGGACATTTGTTCTAATTACACTGCTTTAAATAAACGATATTTTACAATATGAACTTCTCTTGAAGTGGAACGGTTAAAACATGCATTTAGAATCATTTCTAAATATCATTGAAAGAAACAACGTTATATTGCTCCATCTCACGAAAGTTTTATCATGATAAATATGTAAATACCCGATGATTCTGTATGTTAGATAATAGTACTAAAAAGGTTCTATGGATAAAAGTTAATTTCAAACACATTAAAAGTGCAAATTAGACAAATCTGTGGCGGCTTTTTTATGTAGAGAATTGTACATTTGTCTGAAGAGGCGACGAGAAACAGACATCTGTATTACTGAGTAGGCGCTTCAATATCTTATTTCATTTTTACGAAGGATCCGCTGACATTTTACAATTGCTTATTGTTCATTTATAACTATCACAAGTATTTTATCTGACATTTAATTTCTTCGTTAAAACAATAATATGTCACAACAGTGCAAATGGTTTCTTGTAGGTAAACAATGGTCGCTTCGATTAAATATCTTATATTATGAATTTATCAAAACTGTTCTTATTTTGGCGCTATTGTTTTTTTTCTGAAAACTTTGTAATCATGATTTTAAAGTTGTAATGGCATTTCAATAGTTCAAGACCATGCATACCGGGAACAAAACATGTCTGTCAGGGAGGGAACAAAGGGTTTTGATCTGAAAAAATACTAGTTTTAACCCGCCACATGTGCACAGTTTCAGGAACCTCGTTAGTGGTTATCTTTCAATAAAAGTATGTCACACTTTTTTAAGTTAATTGCAGAATTGGATTTTGATGGCAAATGTGTTTTTAGACTAGGTACAATTCGGAGCTTGACAGATTGTACGTTCATTTCTTGAATTCGTTAGGATGTTGTCTCATTGACGTATATACTCCTAATTTTCTTTTATATACAAATAGTAATTTGAGAAGTCACAAAAATATTTTGGAACTTCTGGAAGTGATAGTGTCCGTTCTGTATACCCTAACAACAGTTGGGAAATCTTAAATCCAATTTGAATTTGGTTAACCCTGTCACAAGACAGTCGCTCGTTGAATTGTTCAAAATACTAAGGATTTTCTCCCCCAGGCATAGATTATCTTAGATGTATTTGACAAAACATTTCGGAATTTCGAATCCTCAATGCTGTTCAACTTCGTACTTTGTTTGGCCTTTGATAAATTTGATTCGAACGTCACTGATGAGCCTTTTGTAGACAAAACGCGCTTCTGGTGTACATAGTTATAAGCCGTGTAAATTTAATGAGGCTTTTTTATACTTTATGTTATGAAATACTTGTAATATATATATATCCCCACTCAAAGGGAGGGGCATATTGGTTAACCACTGTCCATCAATGCATTCGTCCGTCTATATATTTCTTTTGTATGTTTCTCAGCAACTAGTCAAAGCTTCATGCATATGGCACCAAGCTTCATCTGGTAATGACATTACCGGATGCGACGTATCATCAATTGTTTTAATGACATGTCAAGTCTTCTTGATATATGATGCCAAGTTTCGTTTTGTTACTTAGTAATTCTTACCGTGTAACATGTTTTCAGTCCTTTAATGAGCTACTACCTCTTATTCGAAAATTTCATCTTTTTTAATTAAAACGTCATGTTAAGATATGAAATATTTATCAGTTTTACGATAATTCCAAATTATACCTTTTTTAATATATGCAGAGTTATAATTAGTAAGCAATTATAGATCACACTACATCTTGTTTTTTTTTTATATAGCACTTAATTTCTCAGCCTAAGATAAATTTGAACCGTAAGACTGTATATAATATATTTAAATTGAAGAAACTATTTAATCTGTATATAGGGTTCCTAAGACAGGTGTCTTCTGGCTATTCCTACATTTTGTATTTTACTATTCTGGCTATTCATACATGGGAGATTAGTGGAAGAACATTAGATGTTGTTATTGCAAGATATGTTGTTTTAGTCATTAGTGTCTAATTGGGTCAAAGGGAAATTTACATGTGGAAATTAAATAAAAATTATTATTTATATGTAAAAAAATTGATTCTTTTTTTTTTGAAAACATGCATCAAGTATTAAAATTAAGTGTTTCTAATATTATGGAATTTCTAGAAAATAAAATTATTCAAAAGAAAAGGAAGTAAAAGCATTTGATGCGTGAATAAAACAAACAGACATAATAGGTAAAAATGTAAAAATAGGGTACAGCAGTCAACACCGTGTCACAATCTTAATCACAACAAAAACAAACAAATATTTAACAAAGAAGCACAAAAAAGCATATATCTCATTTAACAACCTCGTTCATTGCTTACTTATTTTAACCAACACTTTCAACTTCAGCCTCAAAGAATTTATTAATTTCATTATTTTAATAAATTATGATTTTATTAAAATGAATATAATATCAAAAGTAATGCTAAAAGTGCTCAATTATTATAGACAAGTGTATAAATTTGCCTAATAGATCAAGCCAAGCTAAGAAACTTTGAACTCTGATTAGCTTTGAACACTATTAACTTGTGCTCAGTGTCTTAACTGAACACCACAAGTTATACCAAACAAATAAGTATTATTATAAATAGCCGGATTTTTCCTGTGATGTTCATTCTCAGTTCATCATGGCTAATGCACAGTTAGATATCAGATTTACAACAAATAGATTAGGCAACCAGAACTTGGTACACAATTCCTACAAGTTCCAGATAAAGGCAAGACGTGGAGACAGATGTTATTGGAAATGCTCTACCCGTAACTGCCCTGCCACTATCAACACACACAACAACATACCAACCAAAGTGGATGCTAATCACAAGACACTCAGACAGAATGCAACTCAGAGTAGACGATGTACTAGAACTACGTGACCGGGAATGGAATGATGACACACACCAACTAGTTTAACACATACCAACCTTCTACTCATGCAAAGATCAGCTTTACAACGAGAGACACAAGCTATTACCAGCACTACCAACATCAGTAGCAGATATCACAGTAGATGGTGAATGGGCTGAAACTACTACTGGACAACCTTTCCTACTTGCAGATGATAACACCAATGATCGAATGCTTGTATTCAATACCCAAGAGAACCTCAAACATCTAGCAGCAGCAGACACCATCTACTGTGATGGAACACAGCTGTACACTTTCCACGCCAAAGTTGATGGTACTATGTTTCCACTGGTTTACAGTCTCCTACCCGGTAAAGATCAGCAGATATACACAAGGCTACTCACTTTTCTTCAAGATCTATGTAACCAATTCAACATACAACTACAACCAGCCACGATGTTCCTCGACTACGAAATAGCCATCAGAAACGCAGCCACTTCAATCTTCCCAGGAATCAACATTAAAGGGTGCTTTTTCTACTACACTCAGTGTATCTGGCGAGAGGCACAGAAACATGGTTTGCAGACTGAATACAGTGAAAAAGGCGACATTCACCAACTCATTCGAAGAGCTGCAGTTCTGCCACTTTTACCACCCAATACAGTTGAAGATGTTTGGTTTAACGCACTGGAGGACATCGATGATGCAGATACTAACACACCAACCCTTATCTTTACAGACTATGTAACCAGCTACTGGGTAGAAAACAACCAAAGCCTATGGAACCACTACGCAACAGAAGGTCCTAGAACAACAAATCATTTAGAATGTTGGCATAGTAAACTAAAGAAGTTAGTAAAGGCACCTCACCCAAACATCTTCAGCATGATCAAGTTGTTGAGACAAGAAAAAGCCTTCCATGCTCTCACACTTATTTAATACAGAGCTGGCGGGAAACGTACTCCAAGAAAGAGAAAATACAGGGAAATAGATGACAGACTGCAAACACTGAAAACAAGGTTACAGAATGATGAGCTTACTCCAGTTGAGTATGGATATGCTGCTTCTCATCTCCTGCACATTGATTAAGACTTTGTATTCTCTTGTATGTTCAATTAAGTGCAATGTATTACTGTGTGAGTGCTATGTTTAATGTCAATTTAGTGTACTTTTCGGTGCTTTGTTTAGTGTAACTCAAAATTTAGTGCTTTGATTCAAAGAATAAAAATTTAACATATATATATTTCTATCATGCCTATAAATTGATATTGTGCTTTTGAATATTATTTACACAAAATGTGCTATGAAATTATTAAATAAAATATTGTAATATAAACTATTCTTTTTCTTTATTTTCCACAATAATTACCTGGATTTACCTTGGTTCATTAGTTTAGTGTTGTTACAACATAATCCTACATAATCCCATTGTTTACATAAAAATTCTTGGAACTCCTACATAAAATTTTACTATTTTAACTATAACATTCAAAATGTAGAGATAGCCAGAATGAACCCTAAGACAGTGTCAAAAGGTAAAATCAAAGAGATGAAAATGCTCTCAGATACAAAACAACATAAACTGACCAACAAGCAAGAAAGTAATTACAAAGCAAGTCATTTGTAACATGGTTAAATGTCACATCTGGCTATGATTCACTTTAAATAAAAATGTTTTTCATCATCTACCATGGTCTGTAAGATGGACAACCATTTACATGACGGTGACTATAAAACATTGTATTTCTTTACAACCTTTAAACGGGTTTTCGCTGTTGGTTATAAAACATGAACTTAATGAAATTTTTTATATGAATAATTTTCCAGAAATGGACAATCGGAACAAGAGTTTCTGTATATCTGATAATTGTTTTTATCTTTTTTATTTTAGCTAAATTCAGAAAAGAGTTCTTTCTAGCATGTCGGTGTTCGTACAGAATAACAGAGAGACATTCAAGTAGACCAGGAATGACCTTCTCGAGTACACATTACAGTAACCATGAAGGTCAACGACACAGTTGTCATACTGAGCAGATCTCCTTGACAACAGTCAGATAAAACAATGTATAATCATACACCATTTCGTATCAAGCATATCATAATGAGGAGGTCCTATTAATACAAATATGTCCGATGATGCACATCCTCACCTCGAAATTGGATCTTTTTGCGAAAAAAACAAAATATTTCTCTATTGTCATCAGCCCAAGTTTCATCATCATAACGACAGCATGTTTCGCAATAGCCTAGCTGATCAAAAGTAAATTCAGTAATATTTAGCCACAAGTGATTATAAGATGACTACGTAGAAACATGCGCGAAACCGATCGTGAACTGATAACTTATATCCCTCACTTATAACCCATAAAAGAAGTAAGAAAGCAACAAAAAAAAAACAATCGAGGAACATTGTATTCATAGTTCATGAGTTCCTGTCCTTTTTTTTCATAGAAAGATTGAAAATTCTTAATAATGATCAGAGATTTTTTTTCTCTAGAGAGAACTCCACGTTACAACACTGTGACAAATGATTATTGATACCGGATAATGATCAAACTTAATGTGAATCAGTATCTTTATGATTCACCATTAAAATGATTTTTTTCTAGCAATAACAAATTTGATAAAGACAATGCATATGATATAATGATGAGTTATATATCATAGTTAATATATTATGGATGAAGTTTGGGAACACTGGTAATTCCGCGTCTCGGTTCCCTGAGTAGTTCCGCAATATACACATTCCAAACAATAGGCCAAACAAGTCAATGTCATAATATATAGTGCTTTTAAAAATTACATATCACATCTGATCAATTTCCGGTGAAAATACTTTTTTTAAATGAAACTGAGGGTGTATTCCTTTTTCGTCTGTACCATAAACATTGTACGATAAACTGAGGGTGTATTCCTTTTTCGTCTGTACCATAAACATTGTACGATAAACTGAGGGTGTATTCCTTTTTTGTCTGTACCATAAACATTGTACAATACAAACCTTTCCTATTATCTGTGAGCATATATTATTCTTTTCAAATGATTTTGGAAATTGAATGATTTATTCTTAATATTAGTTTTATTTATTATTCCAGACTGTAAAAATCACATGGTTTATTTCCGAACGTTTTGTTTGTAAAATATTCTGCACTTGGTTATTTAGAATGATTGTATTGTGTTAATTTATCATACCAACATGATCTCCATCCACTTTTGAACTCTTCAACATTTCAAGTGTAGGTCACTGGTTTGGAAGATTATGTTACTGTTTTGAATTTCTTTTGTGTTCTTCCGTTATTGTCAGAATCTATTCAGACTATGTGTACAAAATTTGCAGACGATATCGCCTGTTCCTCAATCTAATCAGATTTGGGAGTTCCCTAGTAAATTTGAGAAAGCCTTCGACTGCTATGAACACAACTAATAATTAATTGACTTTTATGGATTTAACTTAATGTACGTAAATGAGACAACAATTCTATAACAACAAAAAATAAAAAGACACTGATCTAGAGATTAACATATAAAGGTATTCAACAAAAGACGAGTGTCTAAACAAAATGCAAATTTCGTAGTTAGTTTCTTTCACATTCAAATTCAACACGGTTTCATCAACACTTCTAAATTGAGTTACTACTAAGTGCAAGTTGAAATGTTCATCCTTCTATCTCAAAATAAGTTTTTAACTTCAATTTGACGATTGTCGTATTATAGTTTTATGTAAGACCAATATAGGAAGTATATAAAAGGAATTAAATAGATTGAACGACGGTAATTGTATATTTTGTTATTGTTTGGTGGCTGTCTACAATACTATGTTACATATATTTACATTGTAAATACTTCCTTTGGTAACCGTTTGATAGATAAATCATTTAATGGGGTTTTGTTTTACCTATTTGGATATTGAGCCACATAATGTCCAATAGTAAATTCAATGCTGTACGTTTTAAGATCAGCGATTACTGGACTTTATAAACATCAATGTTAAATAATTTTCCTTTTTCCCAGTTCGACTCTGATTGTGATATACATGTAGTAAGTGTTGTAAATGTGACAAGATTACAATAAAGTAGCTGTTATTTTATGACTTAATGTGTTTTAATGTATAAGTATATGAATTAAAAGACATTTGATGATACAGGAACCATAAACCTAACTAAAACAAGGGTTACGCAACCTTATTGTTTATACAAAAGGAAAATACGACGAAATTTGATGGTCAAACTAAACGAATACTATGATTAATAATATTGGGTTATTTCATGAATATTGGAGAATACTGTCCCGAGTAGATTTGTTATAATGCACGAGCTTGAGAGTGCAATATATATTCTACGAGGGATAATATTCACCATTATTCCATATTGGTAATATTTTAGAAGGTTTTCATCTGAAGAAAAGTGATATTCAACGCGCTAAACGTCACGTACTTTTACATGTATAATGATGATAACATGTTTGGTGAACAATAGTTTTCGTTGAATAATTGTCATGTAATAAACATTTTCCTTGGAATATGGAATAAAAAAAAATGACTGTATTTTGTTTCGGTGAATATGTGGTTTAATTGACTTTTTAAAAACTGATATTCACTTCGACGAAATATGTGATTTAATTGACTTTTAAAAATCTTATATTCACTTAGGCTGTTGACCTCATTGAATATCAGTTTTTTCAAAAGTCAATTAAACCACATATTTATCTCATCAAATGACAAGAATTGTATAAATATGACATTGTTCTACATTAAACAAAATATTGTTCTCGTAACTGCGAAGGCCTAATCCAAATACAATGTTTAAGCTAATATTTATAGTTGATAAACAGGTTTCTGTCCAATTATTGACCGAGTAATTTCCATTTTTCTTGTCCGCAAAACTTTTATTGTATAAAGGATAACATTGATGTCTGTGACTTGACCAGATACGGCTGTTATCGAGCTATTCGCCATATATTTATATATGTAGTTCTGTCATAGTAATTGTAGTCAGCTGATATCAAATACTGAAGGATTGATTGTTGTTTGCTTAACATCCAGCAGGAAATATTTAGAGATTAGAGTAGCATGGAATAGAAAAGATATTAAAGATGCGATATTAAACTGTAAGGCGATTACATTTGAGACAAAATTTGTGTTTATATGTGAAGTGAAAAAGATAAGTAAGGACATTTTAAACGTTGTTAAACTTAAGGATATGACAAGACCAAATAAGGAGTTAGGATCATAAGCATGGAAGGGAAAGTTTATGTGGAGAGAATTCATATACTTTTGCTTGCAATCATCTTTTTTGTCGTAAAATTTAGTACTCAACCGAAACTCAATGTCAATTCTAGATGAAATCTGAGATATTAAGCTGGACAATTATAAAACTGGGTATCAACTAGAAAAGAGGAAGATCATGTTCTACCTTAGAGAGTGGCAATTTAAAACTTGGGAATCTTGGTGCTAAGAGTGTTTTAATATTGTCAATATAATGTGCGAGGTTTAGCTAACTATAAAACCAGGTTTAATCCATCATTTTCTTCTTAAGGAAAAGCAGTAATATGACAGTTTTTTTCCATTCGTTTGATGTGTTTGAGCTTTAATTTTTGCCATTTGACAAAGGCCTTTCCGTTTTGAATTTTCCTTGGAGTTTGGTATTTTTATTATTTTACTTTTTCTTTTATAAGATTTAGATATTCACTAATTTTCCAAGTAAATTTTCAATACCTAATTCTATTATCAAGCATGTCCTGAAAATATTGTGATTTTGACACTTAGTCTAGCAAAAAGGATATTGTACGGGGCTTTGTCTAGAGGGACAAAAACATGAAACGTATGGATACATGTAGGTAATATTTTTAACAAGTCATTGAAATAGATAAAAAGATCGCAAAAAATACTGCACAGCACAACAGAGCATATTAATCCCCAACACGCGACTATTCCTACCCCCAAACAAACAGGCATACAAAAAGAAGACAAACAACAACGAAGAACTTTAAGTCCAGAATTCCTGACTTGGTACAGGCACACGCGGTAGTGGGGTTAAACTAGTTCAACGTTCGCACAAACTTCCCCCTTTTGCTATCTAGACCATATGTCGTAAAACTAAAACACACAATAAAAATGATACAGTATTCTCAAATTGATAATTAAAATGTAAAACCGTGTTTAAAGGATGATTAAAATGTAAGACACAATAAGAAGTTACATTATAGATTTATCTGTATAATGCAATTTCTTTCAATTATATGTTCAAAGCGTTAAAGACGTCGCGTACGGTGTTGGTGAAATAAGGGTTTTGCTTTCCAGTTCACCTTTATTGTATTTGTTCGAAGTTTCGGAAATGATAACTATATAAATGTATATATCAAAATGTGAATAATTTAAAGTAGAAATGGAATATGCCTTAAAATCAATACTTTTTTCATTTTGTAACTCGAATGATCCCTAATAACACTGATTTTACGCGTGTGGACAAGTAACACCACAAAATATGACCAGCGTTGTTTTATGCTATTCTCGTCTTTGTTTAAACTTTTTTTTATAAAAAGAAGTATTCCTAGAAAGAGCAGTCATTGGTGTTAATGGTGTATGTTTTACTTATGACGTCATCATTAACTAGACGCGTCTGACCAGCACGAAAAAATCACTTTGTTTTGTGGACAAGCAGAAAAAGGTAAAACATTATGGATAGGGGAAAAGTAAGAGTAATATCAAAAAATGATTCAAATAGGTTATTCTGAAAATGATATATCATTTTATTCCGTATATGACAAGGAAAATAAATAAAAGCTTTGTTACAATATTTCAAAAGATCGTCGCAGTATTTACGATTATTTTAATTTTTTATTTCTGTCACAAAACACAAATCTCTCATTTTATAACGAGCTCTTCAAAATTCGAACGAATGCTGCAGACACAAATCACAATTTACAGATATATCCACCCTTCCTGTGTCAAAATTATACAATAAATATAAAACTTTTAAGTCTCCAATTAGTAAATAATGTTTAAATAACGTTCTCTATTGTTCATTTTATTAAATCCGTTGAAATGTCACACTTGCCGTTTTTGACGTTTTCGGCGTATTTGTTAAGTGTTTAATGAAAAGCAATTAGCATTTGCGGTCTTTTTTACGATCTGAAATTTTATTTAAACGTAAAGATGTTTTTTGAAGTGTATGAAATATTAAAAAGAAAATAAACACGATCTTTTGTTTATGTCTAGTCATAATGTCACAAAACGCCATTTTTTATATTTTATTTAAAAGTATGATTATTATCATAAAACAGTTTTGGAATTGAATTGGAAAACAATTGAAATAATAGCACAAAAAATAAAATACTATATCATAAAAATTTACATTTAAGAGATTTATTTGAACCCATTTTCGACTATATGTCGAAAATATTAACGATATAATCAGCGACTACTTTTGTCTAGTCATAATGTCACACACCATGGTTTTTTACTCGTTTTGACATTACGTTCTGTATAACCTGACACGTTATTTATACTATGCATAAGAAATAACGTCAAATTAAGGTTAACCAAACTTACACCAACACCGTACGCAACGTCTATTTAAGACTGTTATATTTTTTCTGTCTATGTAGAAATAACATCAAAAATGTGGTGCACATTGAATAACTCGCGTAGCGGGTTATTAAAAAGTGTGCACCACATTTTTTAGGTTATTTCGAATAGACAGAAAAAAATATGACAGTCATTCCTTATAATTTAATTCTAAAAAGGAGTAAATCATGATAAAAACGTTGATGACGTCACGGTCACATGACAAAATTATGTCTATGAGCTGATAAACAAAACACTTTCAGCCAATCAGAAGACGTGTTACATCCAAAATTAAATTATTAAGTGTTATTTGACTTGACAGTTACTCACCACGTCGTCAGAATTGACCATGGCCGATAATGGCCGTCGCTAGCTTAGTTTTTTCTGTGTTTTTTTTCCCGTTTTGTTTGAATGAAAGGAGATGTGAAGTTTTTGTTAATGATTCAGAAACCTAACGACAAAAAATAACGAAAAGACATATAGAAGGCAACAAACAGTCTTCAATATTAGACAGATATCTATACCCGGGTATATACAAGTTGTAAATATATTTAACAGAAACAATCGAGCATCATCACTCAATTCTCCATATACAGAAAAACATTAATGATATGGCGTATTGATTAACATGATTTTGAGATTTTTCATCGACAATCGATAATCAAATTATTTATCATACCGCACGTTCTTTAAACATTAAAATAAAATTTCACTAGCTTCAAAAGTAGTAATGAATATTTAAGCAATAACCTTTTTCGGACTTAAAAGCGATTTTACAATTGCCGCTTTCTAAAATTTGTACTGGCTCTTCGTATCTATTAACTTTTATCTTGTCTATAAGTGTTCAATTTCAGAACGAATGCATGATAACTTTAAATCGTGGTGCAATTGAAAAAAAAAATTAAAAAATATATTTTCGTAAGGTCTTTTTCGTACTTGCAAAATATTAGACAGTAAAAAGCTACATGTATTTGGACCTAGCTTAATACAATTTGCATTAATTTATGAAATAGTAATCTTTAAATCTATTATAAATATAATTAATTTTAATAAATTTATTTACTGAAAACTTAGAATTAGTTCGTTTCTTATTAACATACAGGAACAATATTTTCTAATCTCAGTGTCATATTTCTTTTTATCCCTAATTCTAAATTGATATGAATTAGCTTTTTCACTTTTTTTTTCCTGAATGATTGAGGATCGCTTAAAAAGTATGTATTCCTTCGAAACATAAATGCATTTAATCAGGACGGGTACACTCTCATTCATTGGCATACTAACATTCTCGCTAATACAATTGTTTGATTGCATAATAAGCAATATTTATTGACTTAGAGAATTGACCAATCCATTGAATGGACTACTACGTACTTTATCGAGAACACGCGCGTTTTTCAGTGACCTACAACTCACTTTTTCTTCTTTTATGTCTACTTATAGGTTAGACAATACTTGGTCATGTTTTATGAAGATTTAAAGACAGAGCGTAGCCGAGGGCTTTAAATCTTCATAAAACATGACCA